CCTTGGCATTCCAGTCTCCTGTAATGAAATAATGTCTCTTTTTGGTGTATTATCCAGTAGGTCCTGCAGATCCTCATAGAACTGATCTACTTCTGCTTCTTCAGCAGCTGTGGTTGGGGCGTATATTTGGATCACTGTAATGTTGAAAGGCTTTCCTTGCACTCGAATTGAGATCATTCTGTCATTTTTTTGGGTTGTATCCAAGCACTGCTTTAGCGAATTTCTTATTAATTATGAAGGCTACTCCATTTCTTCGATGTTCCTCTTGTCCGCAGTAGTAGATCTGGTGGTCATCTGATGTGAAGTGGCCCATTCCAGTCCATTTCAGTTCGCTGACCCCCAGAATGTCTATCTTTAGTCTTGACATCTCACCAATAACAACATCCAATTTGCCCTGGCTCATAGATCTTACATTCCAGGTTCCTATGGTGTGTTGATCTTTAGAGCATCGGATTCGTCGTTCACCTCCAGTACCGTCGGCCACTAGCCTTCCTTTCGGCTTTGAGCTAGCTGCGTCATCACATCTGGGGCTAGTTGAACTTATCCTCTGCTCCTCCCCAGTAGCATTTTGGCCATCTTCCGACCTGGGAGTCCCATCTTCCAATGGCATACCGACATATCTCTGGTTCTTCTGGTCCATTTAGTTTTCTTGGCAAGGATACTGGGGTGGTTTGCCATTGCCTTCCCCAGGGATCACGCTTGGTCTGACCTCTCTGCCACAACCGTCCCGTCTTGGATGGCCCTTCACGGTTTCGTTCATGACATCATTGAGGTGCTCAAGCTCCAGTGCCACGACAAGGCGGTGATCCTTTGCTGGAGCTTTCTCCATTATCCAGCAGATATTGGCAATTTGGTCTCTCGTTCCTCTGCCTTTTCTAAACCCAGCTTATACATCTGGCAATTCTCTCTCCATGTATTGCTGGAGTCTTCCTTGCAGGACCTTGAGCATTACCTTACTGGCATGTGAAATAAGTGCCATTGTACAAAAGTTTGAGCAGTCTTTAGCATTTCCCTTTTTTGGTATGGGAATATAAGTTGATTTTTTCCAGTCTGATGGCCATTCTTGTGTTTTCCATATTTGCTGGCATATGGCATGCATCACCTTGACAGCATCATCTTTCAAGATTTTAAACAGTTCAGCTGGGATCCCATTGCCTCCTGCTGCCTTGTTGTTAGCAATGCTTCTTAAGGCCCATTCAACCCCACTCCTCAGGATGTCTGGTTCTAATTCACTCACCACACCGTCTTGATATCTCACCAATAACGACATCCAGTTTGCCATGGCTCATAGATCTTACATTTCAGATTCCTATGGTGTATTGGTCTTTAGAGCATCGGATTCGTTGTTCACTTCCAGCACCGTTGGCCGCTAGCCTTCCTTTCGGCTTTGAGCTAGGTGCATCATCACATCTGGGGCTAGTTGAACTTATTCTCTGCTCCTCCCCAATAGCATTTTGACCATCTTCCGATCTGGGAGTCCCATCTTCTGGTGGCATACCAACATATCTCTGGTTTTATCGGTCCATTTAGTTTTCTTTGCAAGAATACTGGGGTGGTTTGCCATTGCCTTCTCCAGGGATTGTGCTTGGTCTGACATCTCTGCCATGGCCGTCCCGACTTGGGTGGCCCTTCACGGGTTTGCTCGTGACATCATTGAGGTGCTCAAGCTCCAGTGCCATGACCAGGCGGCCATCCTTTGCTGGAGTCTCCCACTCTAGTCTTGCAGTAATCAAAGATTTTGCTTAACTGACATTGTAAAGTTGCTTTAATGAAATAAAAATGGAGTTGTGGAACTGTAAAGGGAGAGGAGGGGTTACACTCCAAATTAGAAGTATGGTTGCATGACCACTGAGCGCTGAAGTGTCACAGTTGCACCATGCTTCAAGGTGCAACATGTAGTATATCTGTAAATTGCCACTATCCCCGATAATGGAAATGGAGCAGGATACTGGCATCATACAGTAAAGTGTTTGGGATATATTAGGTTTCTCAAATCAATATAAACAGAATTTTTTACTAGGCCCAAAGCTGAATATTTCAGGTGATGTGGTCAAATGATTAGTTAGAGGAAGTGGTTTGTAGATATAAAGGCACTTTATCAGATGGCTTAGTCATCAAATATTTTCTCTTGTCATAAGAAATACTTTTTACATTTCTAAATAATTCTAAAATATTTATTTTTGAGTTTTTAAGTATCTGCCAGCATTCCTTGCCCAATGGAAACCAGTTCAGTATGGGGATGAACTAGAAGAATATACTTCAGCTTTTAAGAATAATGTATTTGTTGTCATAGGAGACAAAAACATTTCCAGTATTTCAACGGTTTTAGTCAGAAGGAATTTTGCAATACCTTCTGTGGAACAGCCTACATGACTGCCTCAACCAGATAAATCCCCACCTCCCATGAATCATTAACCACTTTCAGTATTGTATGTAAATAGGTCCTTCATCAGATCATGGTCAAAGTGTTTCTAGTGAGAGCTGATGCCATTGCCCATGCTACAGAATGGTAAGTAGTATACAGAGGAAAGAGCACAGGATAGCATTCATAATCATTATATAATAGTCAGCTTATATAATGGTAGTTCACAAATCTTTATGCCAAATAAAACATTTAAGTCTTTAAGAAACAATAAGTTTCTTTCATTTTTTTCTGCAACAGACTATGTTAGCTCTTCTTCCTCTTTCCCTCACCCGCAGAAGGGATTTATTTTGTATGCACTGTAAATATATGCACACAAAATTTAAGACAGAAACAAAACTGGTGAAGAAAGGAATTCTTGCCTCTAAAACCTTCTTTATCATGGATAGTACAAATGCTGTGGTTGCTTTCAGCATTAATTTTGCAGTTCAAGGTGATCTTATTAATAAGATAATAATTAAAATTGTATTATATTGTTCTATAATTCATGTTACATCTGTTGTGTCTGAATAATTTTTTTAAAAATATACATGACTTTCAGCTGCAGCTAAATTTGTGATGCATTTCTTTCTGTATCTTAGTAACATGAAGTTTCAATAAGTTAATCAGAATGTGAGGTTATATATTTAAACTAGCATTTTAATAGAATTAGCAGTATAATAAAAATATAACAACCAGAAAAGGCACAGGTAATGATCCTGTAATGTTTGAGCTATATTTCTGGGATGTCCTCTTCAGAATATTGTGTATAGCAGTGAAGAACTACATCTAACTACAGCAGCATAAAGAACATTTTCTGTTATTTCATTTTATGGGAGGAAACTGTGTGTTTAATTTATAGAATAAGTTGAAAGCATGTGTAAAAGGAATGGTATATATTTTTAAAGTCTACAAAAAGTAGTAGAATTTGCCTAATATAACTCTAATCATATTTCTTTGGTCCATTGTTATTGCTAATATATATATTACTGATATTTTGAGCTTTGAAAAAAAAACCTTATACAACTTGAATTGGACTCTCTCCCACTTTAGTGTCAATTTATATACACAGTTCTGAAAATAAGCCCCACTAAACTTGAGGGGGCTTCCTTCTCAGAGGATAGTTTTAAATTTCGCTATCTGCCATCCTGTAATCCAGAATCTACTGACTTCAACAGGAGTGAAGCATGACAAACCCAGTCTTATTTCAACCAGTTTTACACAAAAGACCTCAATCCAAACTCATAACATGTTTAGGACACTATAGATGTATTCCCAGATAAATCTTTTGAACTGTAATTATTACTCGTTCATTAGAGAGGGAAGAGAGATTGAAAATGAATCTACATCCAGGACATCTGATTGACAAGTATTCTCTAATATCTGGAGGAGATGAATCTCTCCAGTTTCACTATTCTGCACTGAATCTGCAGAACTCAAATTTATTCACATTCTGGCAACTTCCTGGAACTGGAAATGACAATGTTATGCCCAATCATATCTGGAATGGTGAAACATTGCAGGGAGATTACCCCTGCCTTCTCTGCAGTTTCCCATCTCCAATCTAATGGAAAACTTTGCATGTTGATCCTAGACTGGTGAATTGAACTAGATAATTATGCAGATAGAGGCTTTTGGGATAACCAGTCCAATTATGTTTGCACATGCAGAAACTTTTATCTCAACATGCCCCCTGTCTGGAAAGTGTGGGATCTTTTCATACTTGTAATTGGAATTCCTCTGTAAGTGTCATAGTTCTGTCTTATGGAACTCTGAGATTTGGAGTTTTGGATGGAGTGTTTATAATTCTCAGCCAGAAAACACTAGTGTCTTGCCAAAGTACAAACTCCAGGACTCCCTAAAATGTTGCCAGGCAGTAAAAGTGAAATCAGACTGCTTTAATAAGCCCCATGTTCTAAATGTATGAAGTAGTAATATAATTGCAGCGCATGTTTTCTTATTTCTTAATGAAGACGTAATGAAGAGTACAGAATGACCCCCCCCCCAGCCACAGGTTTGATATCCATGGTTTCATTTACTCACCCACTCCCCAAATAATGTACATCAATGGCCTGTGGTTTGTGAAATCACCATCCATGCCTCAAACTGGATTTCCTATATAATCATTTCCACAGTGAACCACTTTCTTCAGTGTCGGTTTGATGGCCAGGTAACACAAAGACATTCATTTTACTAAGCAAATGTGAAAAAGATATCTGGATTTCAAAATTGCACTGTTTGATCTATCTTTATTGTTGATTGTATTGTTCATAAGAAAGGGGTTTTTTTCCTCCCTACCAACCCTTTCTTGTAAAAAGATTGTCTCTTATTGAGTTCATCTTTGTTCTTTGCAAGTGTTAAGAAAAAAGGGAAGACAATGTCACTAACCATTCATTCCTTGAAAAGAGTTTGGCAATGAAATGTTTCATGCAAGAATGGAGCATGATTGTTTACTAGAGGTTTCGTTCCCATTTGGGCATGGCTGAAGGTATGGAAATATAGCACTGAGATAATCTCATTTGTTACAAAATGTGTGAACTCATTGGTAAAAGAAATGCAATTTCCTTTTTAATTATTGACATTAATTATATATTTCCAGGATGTGAATGATTCCAGAGAATGCCCAGGACTATCTAAAGCCTTGGAAATGCATTTCCTTACTACTGTGTATGCTTTGGAGTTCATATTTGGCATCATTGGTAACAGCATTGTTGTTTTCGGACACATTTTCTGCTTCAAAACCTGGAAAAGTGGAAACATCTATCTGTTCAATTTAACACTGTCAGACTTTGCATTCCTATGCACACTTCCAATACTGGTGTCAAGTTACTCCAAAGGAACATGGACCTATGACATTACTTGGTGTCAAGCCAATAGGTTCCTCCTTCATGCCAATTTATACACAAGCATCCTTTTCCTTTCCTTCATCAGCTTTGATAGATATCTGCTCATGAAGTATCCTTTCAGAAATCATTTTCTGCAGAAGAGAAGCACGGCCACAGTTTTCTCAATTGTGGTATGGGTCCTGGTCATACTAGAATTGTCACCCATGTTCATCTTCATTTCAGTTCAGAATAAAGAGTGCGCAGATTATGCAAGCTCTGGAAAGCCTGTTGGAAGCCTAATTTACAGTATGATCTTGACAATTGTTGGTTTTTTAGTCCCTCTATATGTCATGTGGTTTTTTTATATGAAGACCCATACCTTCCTCAAAAGCCACAGTTCACAATTCTCTGGTGGCCTGACATATGAAAAACCTCTCACCTTAATCATCATGGCTGTGGCTGTCTTTTCACTGCTCTTTACTCCCTACCACATCATGCGCAATATCAGGATTGCCTCTCGGATGGAATTTTGGAAGCTCTCCCCCTGCGCAATGGACATTATCAACGTTATTTACATTTTTACAAGGCCAGTTGCCTTTCTTAACAGTGTCATTAACCCCCTCTTTTATTTCTTAATGGGGGACCACTTCAGAGAGATGTTGATGAAAAAAGTACGGCATTTCTTTAAAAAGTTTACAATTTGCTGTGAAAGTAGCTTTGAGACTGAAGGGAGCCATACAGAAGATTAAACAACATTGACTAATGGAAGCAATCATTATGCTTATACAAGGGACCTGAAATGCACCTGGGAATTTGTAGCCATATGTGGATCATAACCATCTCTTTGACATGCTACAAAGCAGCCTGTATCATACATATATTTGGGTTCAATAACAAAGATAAATACCCTTTTAGGTATAGAACAAAGCATGGACACCCACGTGACACCTTGAGAACACTCAACTATCACCTCTATGCATTATGACTGAGAATTTCTGGAATGCAGTCCAGAATAAGGATGTGACAAAAATGTGTTGCTGTTCACAAAACACATGGGATATGTGATTTGTGATACCTTGACTGAAGTGTTTTTTGAAATTGCCAGCTGCTCTTCCCAAGAACAGAAATTTGCAAGAACAGAAATTTGCAAAAAGCAGTGGTGGGGTGTGCATTTCAATTGGAAATTATAATGATCAGGACTTTTTTATTGCTTCAAGTAACAAACGTAACAATGCTTTAGTCCTTTATTTTAACTGTGTTTGCCCTCACTCTTCAGGGATTTTTAGGCTTCTCTGTGAGGGGCGACCCAGTCAACATATCTTGCTCTACTCAGTGACAGAAAGAATAAAGGGTGAATTTTACATTGCTACCCACAATGGTTTGGACTGTAATTTCCTTAATCCCTGATAACTGGCCACATTGGTTGAGGCTGATGAGCATAGTACAGTAGATTGAAATATATGAAATAATAATAATAATACTCATCATCATCTTCATTTGTATACTGCCCTATCTCCCCAAAGGGATTCAAGGTTGTCACCTATGCTTTCTAAAGTTAATACACTTAGCATAAAATTTAATGAGATGAGAAAGTGGAAGGTCTAGGCATTGGAATATCCAATCTGTGTTTCCAGAAATAAATACTGAATGAGACACCTTTACTCTAGGCTTCCAGGAAATAAATTTAATTGGTCAGAAAATGACAAGGGGTGCATGTCCCCCACATGAACAACTGGTGGCCCATTTACACTTGTTAAGACAATCTAAAAAAGGCAAGAGTGCAAGAAATTTACTTTTTTGTGATTCCCAACATAAGAAAGAATCTGGATAACATGGAAACATTAATTTCTGAAATACAAGTTTCAGAATATCCAAGCTAGGGATGGAAAGAACATTCAATAATATTTGGAAAATGTTTGAAAAACTTGTTTCTCGAGTGTTCATAAACTCTGATGAAAAGAATCTTAGAATGACAATAATTTTTGAAGTTTGGGGTTTATATTTTACAAAAACAATACTTCTGTGTGTGCAGTAACTAGCGTTTTCTGCACAGAAAAATAATATTTTTGCATAGTTGCAATTACCTGTGCAAATGCTTACAGAATAAGTCCCAAATCATGAATAATCTTCAGAAACGGCACAGGTTTCTCACACCAGGAAGAAAACCACTGAAGTTACTTGATGCTTCCTTCATGATTATATCCCTAGTCTCAGCCTTCATGGCTATAAATTACTAGTGTACTTTGAGAGTAGTCAAGGAATATGGGAGGACAACAAGTATCTAAAACAATTGATCAAAACAATACTGGTAACGGCCAATATGGAGCTAAGGTTTGAAGATTTTTCACACACACATAGAGCCTTCAGAGAAAAAATGTCTTTTTAAAATTAAATTGCTCTTATTTATGTCATGCGTTTACATTAATGAAATTATTTTTGAAGTTAATTCAAGTCATATACTGGTATGTTAATTATGAAAAACAGAAACAATGATGTTGTGGCATCTCTCATCTATAAGCCTTAGAACAAGTGTGGATCTTTGTACAACTTTGTTGTCATAAATATTTTATAATTTTATCCACCAGTAAGCTTCTTAGGATAGGAAAAAGATTTAAAAGGCGTGGGAAAATTAAGAAAACTGAGCACATAGGTTTCATAAGAAATTTGGCATGCTTTAGCAGTCTCTCTACTATAATAAAACAGCAATATTTGCATTGCAATCTTATACCAATTTGCTTGTGAAAAAAACTCCATTAGTTTCAAACTGTTTTATGAATAGAAATTACATACAATCCCCATATCTTTGAGGGATATGTTGCAGGGGTTTACATTGCTACACAAAACTGCTAGTGATAGAGAACCTTACTAAATGAATTGTTTTCAGCTGAAACATACCATGGAACCATGCTAGAACACATAGAAAATGCATAGAGGGGACACTTCTATACGCATCACTAGCTTCTCCTTCATGGCTCTATGAAAATAATCACCTGGATTATGTTTAAACAGCTAAAGGGGATGCGGGTAAATGCAACTGCGGATACCAGTTTCGTGAATACAGGGATTGTACTATATAATATTTCACTGGTTGCAATTTTATAATTTATAAATACTTGCTCAGTAATAAATCCTATTGTATTCGTGGGAAGACAAGTACAGGGCATGCACAGTATCCCTGGTTACTGTGTCAGAGGTATATAAGTAAAGTTAGCTTTCTTTATATATCTTTTCTGGAGTGAAAAGAGGAAATACAAGGCAAATGGAACTACACAATATTTTCTGTTATAAATCTAATTGGGTTGTGAATTTGTTTGCACTTAAGCTCTGATGATATAGTAGATTTGGAGACCCAGAAAGGGAAATTAAATGAACATTCATATGACAGAATGAAGAGGTATTGATGCCAGATAGAATCTAAAAGCTCTGAATCACAGAGCCATGAGAGTATGTGTGTGGAGATTGGTTTTGAGTATTAAAATTGTATTAATATCCCAACTGAGACATTACTACAAAACATTATTATGAATGCCAGCCAGCATCCTGTATTAGCCACTAATAATTATGTTAAGGTTAACAAAGTAATCTCTCCTGGTCCAATTCACCTAAATTGATGGAAATGTTACTCATCTATGCTGCAATCACTGGCAGAACCAATATTCCCCATGCAGTTGATGTTGGGTTAAGAAAGTATGGGGGAGTTAAGACTTTTGCAACAGTGCCAAAATTGTGACTAGGGCCTTGTCTACACCATCAAAATAAAACATTTGTTATTCAGATTATTAAACTTTGTAATTGCCCTAGATTAACTTTGTGAACACCACATCAATTTGTAATATGACACACTGAAATTGTAGTGCTGTCCATAATTAAAAGCCAGATCAGCAATCACCCCACCAACTCACCTCTCCTCATGCCGGTTCTTATTTTATCCTGTGATGTGACTGCAGCTGCTGTCACTACCCCCTTCTCACCAGGTGAGGCTTTGTACTTACACTCCAGTTCCAGCTCTTTGTCTCGCTCTAGAGTGGCAATCAAGGTGTGCCTTTATGGCTGTTCTGGAGCTGCCACCACAACTCCTATGGAATGCCTCCCAGAAATCTGTCCTAACCCCCTTTCCTAGAGTCACCCTGATCTAGATTAAATGCAAGTAGCTAAACATAACTACAAACTGTAGTTTCTTGGAAACTGCAGAGGAAGAAGTGAGTTTTATTATAAAGCATTAAAGCTTAAAAGAAGCACTGTCACTGCAAAATAAGTCAAATTATACATGTCAGGATCAAGCAGCTACAAGGTGAGTACTATTTTTTAAATCACTGTTGGCAAGTTCTTAAAAACGTATTCAGGGGTAGATGTATTGGCAAATGCAACAGAATGCAACACATGTGGCAAAAGACTTCAAAATCCAGAACCTACACGAGTGATACCTTTATTAATTAGACAAAATTTACAAGCTGCACAAAGCTTTGCTATCTTGTGAGAATAACAAAACAACATATTGGTAAACTTCCAAATTACAAAACAAGCAATCACAATAAACAATGGGATGACTATCTGAAAGCAACTGCCAAATGTGCACACAAACAGCAACTAAATATCTCTACACCTAACTGGAGAGAACTCTATGGACCATTCCAGCCAGATTCCCCCAGTCAATGAGATTGTAGGAGGTTCACAATTGTTGGCTGGCGATCCCCATCTTCTCCCATCATGCTAGGTGGACTGCCCTGCATGCCTGGCCACACCACCATATTTTGGAATGCCCAACCTACAAATCATCCATATTGTAAGTCATAGGGTTCCCTTTCATTCCACCCAGTGAAGATTCAGCTTAGAATGATTGTTCTACAATGTGTAGTTGTAATATTTATATTCATATAAAAAACTCACTGTTCTGGGATTCTGTTTCAGAACCAGAGGCTTGGGTGACATTTAGAATTCTTAAAAGTGTTTGGTCTCATCTAAAATTCAATACCCAAGTATCTCAGTATCTCAGCTGAGCAAATCCATCTCAGTTATAGGCTTGTTTCGCTTCAGTGCCAAATGCTCCCTACAGTGAAAAAAGTAAATAGATCTTTCAGTCTGCAGCCATTGCTTTAAGAAGACAGCTTATATAATAATCAAGTCTCATACTGAATTGAAGGAAAAGGTGATCCACACGCACAAAAAATAAAGTTCAACACACAGGTTCTTTCCAAAAATCACTATCATCACTTTGGACTTGTCTTCTATTTATAACTCTCACACTCTTAACATAGTACTAATTACAGAAAACTTGAGATGCATTTTAGTGTAATACAACAGCAGACTTGTTTTTCATCTAGCCAAGAATATTCACTATTCAGAGACTCTTGCATTTGGTTATAATTTATACCAATGACATGACCAATTGAAACAGCATAATCACACTTAAGCATTTTCCCACTTCAATTTTAAATGCTGTGACTGCCTCCTAAAAAATTCTGGAATTTGTAGTTTAAGGAGGGGCCTTTAAACTGCTCATCCAGAGAAGCCCTGGGCCTCCCCAAAGTGCAAGTCCCAGAATTCAGCAGGAGGCAGTCATGGCATTTATAGTGGACCGAAGTGAAAAAAATGTTCAAGCGTAATAAGGCAGGTACATCTGGTCTTAATTTGTTGGGTGAATTTTTTGCTTGGCAGTAGAATTAAACCAAAATTTCATTTTAAGGAGCTTGGATCTACACTGTCAAATAATGTAGTTTGAACTCCATTATATAGTCAGTATAGATTTATA